TTTTTTCATGATTGATCATACATCATACAGAGGTCAAAATTATTGTACAAATACGATAATTATCGTACCAATACGAAGTTTGAAAAGTGCCCGTCAAACGTCGGCTCGCTCTGTTTCTCCATCGGCACTTTCTTTGTCTATTTTTTTTTTCACTCTTTTGGTGAAAAATAAATGTCGCGAAGTTGAATACTTTACTCAAGTAAAAGTGTGTTCCATTTCATTACCCGTAGCTGAGCGAAAGAGGGATGTAGTGTTCCTGCTGGATGGTTCAGATGGCACTAGGAGCTCTTTCACTGCGATGCGTGACTTTGTTGAAAGGATGGTGGAGAGACTGAATGTGTCTGAGAACAGAGACCGTGTGTCCGTGGTCCAGTACAGCAGAGATCCAGAGGCCCATTTCTATCTTAACACATACTCAAGAAAGGAGGACATTCTTGACACGGTCAGGGGTCTGAGGCACAAAGGAGGAAGACCCCTCAACACAGGGGCAGCTCTGCAGTACTTGAGGGACAATGTATTCACTGCCTCCTCTGGAAGCAGACGTGTAGAAGGTGTGCCCCAGTTACTGATTCTGCTGAGTGGTGGAAGGTCATTTGATAATGTTGACACACCGGCCTCATCCCTGAAGGAGCTGGGAGTGCTTATCTTTGGGATAGGGTCAAGGAGCTCAGACAGCAGGGAACTCCAGAGGATCTCCCATGAGCCTAGTTATGCACTCTCAGTGAGTGACTTTGCTGACCTTCCCGGTGTCCAACAGCAGCTTTTCACTAACATTAATACAGTACTTGTAGAGCGCACGCCCATCACTACTACAGTAATAGGTAAGAAATTTACAAACCAGTTTTGCTGTAGTTCCTTTTACGTATTATGACGTATGCTAAGGTAAGTATCTCCAGTCATGTTTAAACTTTTTGTGCATATATTATGCTTTACCATACTAAAAACATGAATGTTATCTAAAAGTTTGTGGTTTGTTAAGGAGAGATGTACTGTTCTCTTTTGGTTCAACAAAATGAGCAAAAATTTCTAGTTTTTCACTAATGGAGGGTCCAACATTGTATCTATTGACCATAATATCATAGAGACTATGGTATGGTTCTTTTACTTCAGTCATAAAGAAGCATTATACAGCCTCCTTGCAGCACCTTAACCACCCTGCTAATGTATGACCTTAGTGAACATATGAAAATGTGCTTCCTTTAGAACACCGAACGTCCTGATACCAGTGAGCATTGTATAGCAAATTTTACATGTATTTCTTTATTCATACCTTTTCTTCCTTTAATATGCACAGAGGTTTGTTGTTTGTCTAATTATTTCCATACAATTACTGAATGGAAACATTTATTTTTTGTGCTTTTTGAGAGATCAGATTTTATATTAAATGTGTGTAGACCAGTGTTGCTCAGTCTACGTTGATTTGATTGATTGATTGATTGATTGATTGATTGATTGATTGATCTGTCATTTTTTATTTCTAGAATTTCTAATAGTTTTCTCTAATGTATTTAAGATTCATTAAGGCAAATGAGGAGTGTGGGAAGTGAATTTGTTTGGGTTTTTTCCCATTAAAAAAATTATATGTTTATATGTATATATGTGACCCTGAACCACAAAACCAGTCATGGGGTCAATTTTCAGAAATTGAGATTTATGCATCATCTGAAAGCTGAATTAATAAGCTTTCCACTGATGTATGGTTTGTTATGGGCAATATTTAGCTGAGATACAACTACTTGAAAATCTTGAATTTTCAAGTAGTTGTATCTCAAGGGTGCAAAAATGAAGTCCTTAGCAATGCATATTACTAATCAAAAATTAAGTTTTGATATATTTACAGTAGAAAATTTACAAACTATCTTCATGGAACATGGTCTTTATTTAATATCCTAATGATTTATGGCATAAAAGAAAAATCGATAATCTTGACCCATACAATGTATTGTTTGCTATTGCTAGAAATATACCTATGCTACTTATGACTGGTTTTGTGGTCCAGGGTCACATATATAAAATAGATGTTACTATGGTTGCTTTCCAAGGTTACAGTGTATCATGGTTGCAGTGTTTCAAATTCAGTTGAAAATGACACCTTGCACATCTGGCAATTCCAGGTGGAAACAAAATACAGAATGATGATACAAAACATGCTGATACAATGTCTTACCATTAGGTAGTGGAATCAAGTGAAAATTAGTTATGTTCACCGATCGGGAATAAAGGGTTGTACAGTTTATGTAATTATATTCATGTTGTTGTTGTTGGGTGTGTATACAGACTGGCCCTCATCTAGTCAGCAATATTTGATATTAAATCAGATTTTTTTTATTTTCGTTTTAGTTGAGTCCCAAGGACCTAAGAAGGACATCATCTTTGTGATTGATGGCTCTGAAGGTGTTGGCAGAGAATTCCCAATTATCCAGGAGTTTGTGCGCAGCGTTGTGGAAAACCTCAATGTTGGCGAGAACAAGATCCGAGTGGGCGTGGTGCAGTATGGAGATTCCCCGTATGCAGATATATACCTCAACTCACACAGGACCAAAGAAGGTGTCCTAAATGGCATTAAGGAACTCCGACAACGAGGGGGGAGACAGCGTAACCTTGGTCGAGCCATTGACTTTGTTAGTCGTGAAGTCCTGGCTTCTGGACGTGGTGGAAGGAAACAGGAGGGAGTTCCACAATTTGTTGTTGTGATTTCAGGAGGAAAAGCAACAGACAATATAAGACCATCTGCAACTGCACTGAAACAGTCAGGAGTTGTCCCTTTTAGCATAGGAACAAGAGACGTGGACACTCAGGAATTGCAGGTGACATCCTATGTCCCCAGATTTACCTACACAGTTGAAGACTTGCCTGGACTATATGCAATTCAGGACACACTCATCACCACCCTGACAGAGCTATCTAGTGAGGAGTTAGCCAAATTGCACCCTGTATACCCTCCAGGTAACGGCAATCATTTCATAATTGGGTTTCTTGTTGATGTGGTAATGCTGCTGAAAAGGCCAGCATAGACCAGAATTAATTTCCATTCCCAATTTATTTTTTGATATCTGGTCCAGCTGGTGGTTAAACTTAGTTCTCTTTTAAATTTTAAGTTTGTGAAATTGGTTATCCAGTATGGTCTATCACTTATTTCTGGTTGACCAAGGAAGTCTTGCTGTTGTTAACCTAGTTAAGATGCTTGCTAGAAACACTAGCATTCTATGCTGGGAATGTCTAAAATGCAAAATGAATATCACCAGCTATGTTGGTCTTTTCAACAGTGACAGCATAAAACATACACCTGTGAAGGTTTGAAAGTGTTCATGACACAATTTATTATATTCCTTAAAAAAATGTTTATAGTCACTCGTAGCGCCACAGTCATAATTTAGTAATACATGACCATTTTCCACCCTGTCTCTAACCATATGAATAAAATGCTCAGTTTTGCTGCTGCCTTTTATTTAAGACCTTTCACTGTTATGATCGGCTAACATTTTTGCATAGGAAAAATGTGTCCTTACTCTTGTTGCTCTCAGAAATTGCATAAAGCCAGCTAATCAGATTAGAAATTACTAGATCAAGAAAGTGCTTTCCACTGTTGAGTGCAATATGCAGTCTAGGTAGCTGCACGGATCTCAGGTTGCCTGGCGGACATCTCGGCATGGATGAAAGAACATCACCTAAAGCTCAATCTGGGAAAGACTGAGCTTCTTGTCTTCCCTGCCACTCCAACTCTACAGCATGATTTCACCATCCAGCTAGGTTCTTCTACAATTACCCCATCAACTTCGGTCAGAAATCTTGGTGGAATCTTTGCTGACCAGCTGACCTTCAGAGACCACATTGCAAAGACTGCTCAATCTTGCAGGTTTGCATTGCACAACATCAGAAAGATCAGGCCCTTTCTAACGGAGCATGCTGCACAACTTCTTGTCCAGGCCGTTGTCATTTCTAGGCTGGACTACTGCAATGCTCTTCTGGCTGGACTTCCATCAAGCACAATCAAACCTCTACAAATGATTCAGAATGCAGCGGTACGACTGGTCTTCAACGAGCCCAAAAGAGCCCATGTTACACCTCTCTTTATCTCCTTGCACTGGCTACCGGTTGCGGCTCGCATCAAGTTCAAGACATTGATGCTTGCATATAGAACAGCCACAGGCTCAGCACCCACCTACTTCCACTCACTATTACGAATCTTCATCCCCTCCAGAAGTCTGAGATCCGCTAGTGTGCGATGCCTCATGGTACCATCACAGAGAGGCTCAAAATCACTTTCCAGAACATTCTCGTTCACCATTCCTGGCTGGTGGAATGATCTTCCCACCCCTATCCGGAATGCTGAATCCCTGACAATTTTCAAGCGACAGCTGAAAACTCATCTCTTTCGACACTACTTGACTTCATCCTAAATTAAAATAAAAACTTTGCCTTTCTCTTTATTTATTCCTACTTATTTGAACAAATGCCTGAAACTTGGGATTATGAGCACTTCCTGTGTCTGCCTCTTTAAGAAAAATCGCTTTATGTATTGCCCAAGTGTAAGTCGCTTTGGATAAAAGCGTCTGCAAAATGACTAAATGTAAATGTAAACGTACATGTAAATGCAATGGACTGTGGCTAAAAAGACAACATTAAGTATGGTCAGCTTCTCCATCAGCTTTTGTTTTTAAGGCATTCTTGACTCAGCAGCAAAACACCGCACTCATGGTGGGACACACTGAACAGCCAGACCTGCTGCAATGGTCAAAGGCACACAACAATTAAAATAGCACAAACAGTTAAAGTTCTTAACACTGTGTCCTTAACACAGTACTCATGACAAGATGCACTAAAATAATTGGACAAAGATACCAATCTAACTCATATTTACATTTAAATTTACAACATAGGATATTAATAGAACAAGTGCTTACATCATCTCATCAAGTGTAAAGCAACTCAGAGCAGCAAAACATCATCAGTTGTTCAGTAAAGTCCTTTTTTAAACTAATTGAATAGTGTATACCTGACATTTCATAGAACTAAGAATTGAGAATTTTGTATAAAATTTGCACCACTGTTTGTGAATCCTGAGGTCAGACTGTCAGGTACATTTGTGTATTAATTAAGATCTATTTATTATTGTTATATATTTATTTTTATGTACAATTTTCATCTCTTTATTTCAAAACATAGAGACTGTAATTCCAGTGCCAGTACCTCGTGGAGATAAAAGGGATGTTGTTTTCCTTATTGATGGCACAACAAAGATGCGGAGTGAGTTCCCTGCCATAAGAGACATGGTTCAGCGAGTGGTGGAGAAGTTAGATGTGGGTCTCGACAATGTGAGAGTCTCAGTTGTGCAGTACAGTGATGATCCCAAACTGGAGTTTCTTCTCAATGAGCACTCCACCAAGGAGGAAGTTCGCCAGGCAATACGAAGAATGAGAAGCAAAGGTGGCAATCAGCTTAACACTGGCCAAGCTCTGGAATACGTTTCAAAGAACATCTATCAAAGATCAGCCGGAAGCCGTGTAGAAGAGGGTGTGCCCCAGTTTCTCATCTTGGTAACTGGAGGAAAGTCAAATGATGATGTGTCTGGCCCTGCTAACCAACTGAAGTCAAGCCGCATTGCTCCCATAGCAGTTGGAGCACATAATGCTGATGAAGAGGAGCTAAAATTAATTTCCTTTAGTCCAGAACTAACATACACCATTAGAGACTTCCAGCAACTTCCCAGAGTGGAGCAACAGCTTTTAACCAAAGTCAGTACCATGACCAGAGATGAAATTTCGGCCCCCCCTACGCCTAGAGGTATACCACTTTTTCTGCTTGTGTTAAAACGATTTTTTCAGGTTAATCCACATTAGCAGAGCATTTGATGCCAAATTTAGTCATGTCATGTTTACTTTTACACACGCGCATAGCTTTAATAGATTATGCAGAAATTTATTAGTAAATGTATTCATTTTTGTTTCTTATCAGTCCCACTCAGTCTTGGAAGAAAGGACATCATCTTCCTCATTGATGGCTCTGACAGTGTTGGACAAAGCGGTGTTGCTCACATTCGTGACTTTATCTTGAAAGTGGTTGATCAGCTTGATGTACAACCTGACCAAGTCCGCGTGGCTCTTGTGCAGTATGGTGAACGGCCTAAAACGGAATTTTCTTTGAACTCTCATGACAACAAGCAATCTGTCATCTCTGCAATTAAGAGATTGCGTCATATGGGTGGACGCGGTGCTGATCTAGCTGAGGCGATAAAGTTTGTCATTCGAAACGAGCTCCAGGCATCTGCTGGGGTACGTCTAAACCAGGCTTCCCAGCATTTAGTTGTGCTAACTGGTGGAAGATCAACCTCCGATGTATCTACTTATGGCCCACTTCTCAAAGGCTCTCGCGTCAATTGTATAGGAATTGGTGCAGAAAATGCAGACCTAAGACAGCTGGCACAGATTACTACCACTGCCGATGACGTCCTGCAGGTGGCTGCTTTCCCAAATCTTCCGAACATACAGAGCAAGTTTATAGCCAGACTTAATGGAACAATTATAGAGGAGACTCCCACTGACGAGCCAGGTAGGTAGAGCTTTAATGTCATTGTTATGTTAGACATTCTTTACATGATGGGTATATAATAATAGGCCATAAATGTTAGTTTGTTCATTTATTTAGCCTGTTTTATTTTCTCTGATTTCCCCTAGATCCTGGGCTCCCACAAGCCAAGGCTGCTGACATTGTGTTTTTGGTTGATGGCTCAATCAATCTTGGCAGGGACAATTTTAAAGAGGTCATGGAATTCATTCTTAATTTAATTGACCTTTTCTTCACTGAGAGAGACAATCTTCAGATTGGTCTAGCACATTATGCTACAGATGTGACCGATGTATTCTACCTCAATACTTACAAAAATAAGGATGACATTATTAATGCCATAACTCGAGCCGAGTACAAGGGAGGTCGGGAAATTAAAACAGGCAATGCCATTCGCCATGCTCAGAAAACACAATTTGTCAAAGAAAGAGGCAGTCGGAAGGATGCGGGAATTCCACAGATCCTGATGGTAGTCACTGGTGGACGGTCAAGGGATGACAGCAAATCAGCGGCACTAGCTCTCAAAGACAGTGGTGTGCGCATCTATGCTGTTGGGGTGGGTGATATTGAGGATGAGCTCAATAATTTGGGCAGTGAAGCTACTACAGTGGCCCGAGCCAGCACCTTCCAAGAACTCTCTGAACTGAATGAGCAGATTTTGGAAACACTGGATGATGAGGTGAAAGGAATAGGACTGTGCACTGGAGTAAAGGTTACCACAAGAGGTTTGGTTTTTAAGGTTTTTCATAAAGTGAAAGTACATTTGAAGTGTTCTAAACAGAGGTTTACTCTCAATTTGTATTAATTCTTAATTCTGTTTCTGGCAGAATGCAAGTTGGATGTACTTGTGGGGTTTGATGTGGCTGCACAGAACATCTTTGCTGCTCAGAAAACATTAGAGACGAAGGTGGCTACTATTCTCCAACGCATTACCCAGATGCAGCCCATCAGCTGCACTTCTGGCCAGGTTCCCTTAATACAAGTGGGCATGCTAGCAATGGACTCTGCCTCTGAACCAGTTCAACTGGACTTCACCAACAGATACACAGAGCTTATTGAGCCCTTCAAGGCCCTCCGAAACCGTGGACCTTTTGTTCTAAATGGTGCCACAATCAAAGCTTATGCTGATAGATTCAAGAGTCAGCCTTCAGATAGTGTCAAGGTACATCCTTTTCATTCAGGGCAAATTTTAACCTCAAAATCTAACCATATTGTATGTACGGAATATCTCTGTATATTTATAAACAATTATTTGTACTAAAAATTGAATTAATTGCTGTTTTACACCCATAAAGGTTGTGATCCACTTAACTGATGGATTAGATGCCCAGTATAACATCCTGAAAGAGCGAGTTGAACTGATGCGTTCAGCTGGTAAGAGTAATTGTGATTATAGATATGAAAATGTCTGATGAATTTCATTACTTCACACTCAAATATCGATAGGTTGTATGTTCAGTTTCTTTATTTCTCTACTCACCAATACTTATGTTTGTTGTTGATGATGATTTAGACATCTCACAACATGTTACCACAAACATTTTAATATTTGTTTTTTCTTAAGGTGTCAGTAGTTTCATTCTTGTTGCCCTGGAGAGAGTGCCACGATTTGAGGATGCAGTTCTCTTGGAATTTGGCCGTGGATTTAGGTACACACGACCTCTGCGTGTCAACCTCATGGACTTGGATTATGAACTTCTGGAAGAACTGGTGAGAACTGTTCTAATTGCTCAGTCAAATAAGCTCACTAAGGGATGGCCTACTACAATGAAAAAGACAGTTGAATATGTTTGTCTAATATTATTTTGGTTGTCTCTTTTTAAGGATAACATTGCTGAGCAGGAATGCTGTTCTGTTCCATGCAAGTGTAATGGCCAGAGAGGGGACAGAGGAGCTGTTGGTGTACCTGGACCAAAGGTCAAATTCATTCTTCGAAAAACAACATATTTTATACTACAACACAGATAAAAAAAATATTAAATTTATCAGTGTTTGCTCATGTCAATGTTTTATTGCCTATAGGGTCAATCTGGTGGTCAAGGCTTGAGAGGACATCCTGGTGATGAAGGTGGTCCGGTAAGCATGTATTAATTATCTACTATGAATATATATAAAGATTTAAAAGGCATATTTTTTCACTCACATTTGTCTGGGATTCATCATCTACCTTCTCAATAGTTTGTAATTGCCCACTTTCTCACTACGCATGAAGTTACATTGATTTTCCAGCATGCACTAATAAATGGACAGATCCTATACATACCTTTGCACATACATATACATACCTTTATCAGTGTTGCGGTAACGTGTTACGGAATGCATGTTACATAATCAGATGTGTTAGTTTATGAATTTAAACCACAACACTGGAGTTTCTTTTCTATTTATTTTAATGTTTTTGCTCAAATACAATACAATTCTCTCCCTACCCCATGTCAATCATCAACATAAGAATTCATCATGAACAACCTGAAACTTTGCTGTTGTCATTAAATCAGTCTGTATCTTTTAGTTAGATGGCAACATTTTGACAAAATGCAACATTTGTGTATGTGGCATGTTGTTTCTCATGATTGCGATAATCCATATTTTCTCAGGGAGAGAGAGGTCCACCTGGTGTAAATGGAACTCAAGGATTCCAAGGATGTCCAGGTCAAAGAGGTGTTAAAGTAAGTTGAACTAAATTTTACTTAAGGCAGCACATTATGGTTAAAATATATTACGTGACTAATCCAATGTATTTGTTTTACTTTTATTTAGGGATCTCGAGGATACAATGGTGAAAAGGTAAGAACTCCTTATATATAACACTTTTGTAATCATGTCATAGTAAATAATAATATATTACCATGATTAACATTAACATAAGAATATGTTTAATTGATAGCATTTGTTTTGTTTTAGGGTGAAATTGGAGAGATTGGTTTAGATGGAATCAATGGAGAGGAGGTCGCCTATTTTTGATTTTGTTATTAGTAATCAGTTGTACAATAGTTTGTACAAATCTTTGTGTATGCCAATTAAAATCTGTTGTTGTCTTTCAGGGAACAAGTGGCATTGCTGGCCCTCCAGGAGATAGAGGAAACCCTGGGCAAAGGGTAAGTCATGTAGAATCTAGTTGTGGGTAGGGTCATGAGGAATATATTCAAAATAAATAAATATGGTTTATCTGATCTTTTTGGTGTGTTTCTAGGGACCTAAAGGGGCCAAAGGCCAGGCAGGAGATGTTGGTCAGACTGGAATCCGTGGTGATCCCGTATGTATTTTATACAAAGTCATATATGTCTGCTCTCTTATTTACTCAAGGATTTGACTTAATTTATAATGAGTATATCTTCCTTCAATAAGTAAGGTTGATGCTGTTGTTGTTGTTGTTTTAGGGCATCCCAGGAAGAGACAACAACCAGAGGGGACCAAAAGGTGATCCAGGCGATGCTGGCCCACCGGTATGGTCCATTTTTTTTTTTTTTCAACATAGTTAATACTGTATGTCATTCTGGTAGATTCTTCCATTTATTTGATTGTGTCTGGTCAGGACTGTAGCACGTTCACGCATCAATATTGTAAAGTACCAAGCTTCATATCAAGCTTCGTTTATAGTTCTGCACTATAATCTCATTAAAAATCATAGAAGTTGTTTTATTAATTATTTCTCATTTGATTCAACTATTATTTCTCATTACAAGTAATTTTAGTCTCTGGTCATGGTCAAAATTTAAGACTTGGCCAAGCTTTACATATAGTAGTAATTGCTGCACATTTTGTTAGTGTTTCCTATTAAATGTGTGTTTGTGTCTATGTGAATAAAATCCACAACTGTAATGCATTTTTGAAGTTCACTGAAGTGTTTTCTTTAGGGAGAGCCAGGAGTGGACGGAAATAAAGGAGGACCTGGTGAACCAGGCAGACGGGTATGCTTCCTCGACCAAAGAGAATGTCTTTTCTAACTTACCCAGCAGTACTGAATAGGCTAAGATCCTTTCAATCAGTTCATAAATAATCTCTTCAAAACCCAAAACAGCTCAATCAAATGTTTAGAATCTAAAGAGTTAAAAGAAAACTGTTATGAGATAAGAAGACATTTCTAAATTAGCTTCGACAGCTATTCAGATTAGTACTTATATAAATTGTATGCCATGTTGTCTATGGCAATACATTATTTGAAATGTTATATGTAAGATCCATGAAATGTTGAGTGACAGATGTTCTGTTCATAATCTTATTCACCTTCTCCTCTTTTGAAAAAGGGCCCTGATGGTAGAAGGGGGCCTCCTGGTCAAGCGGTGAGTACACATATAAACTATTTCATGACAAGGGACATGAACATTATTTTAACACTCTCACAGAGATTCATCAAGAGCTGTTGTTTATGAGTTAACTAGTTTTTTTGGTGAAGTTTTTGAATTATTTATCAAAGGTCCTGTTGCATTTTTAGGGTGCTCCTGGAAGGGCAGGAAGTGATGGTTTACCAGGAGAGACAGGAATTGGAGGATCTCGGGTAAATTAATTGGCTGTAAAAAAAAAAAAAAAAAAGTTGTGCAAAACAAAAGACAGATGTTGTATATGCATACATAATGGTTTAATCTGGTTTACAGTCTGGTTACATTTATTTATTATGTATGTTCAAATATGCACACCTGCCTTGAAATAAAATGTTCAATGTTATTATCAAAGAGAACATATATATTATATGTAATATGAATATTGTGTAAATGTATTTGATTCAGGGTGCCGCTGGACCAATTGGAGCACCTGGTATAAGAGGAGAGGATGGAAACCCTGGTCCAAGGGTAAAATATGTTTAATAAGCATGTTCTTTTTCTTGTTTTATATGCTTCTAAAAGGATGATTGTATCAATAATAATGACCATTTGTGTGCAGACAAAATGTTTAATACCGCACACACACAAAAAAGACCATTTTGGGTTTATTACTTATTAAAAGAAAAAATATATACACAGTATATCCTGGTTTCTATGAGAAAAGCTTTCATCTTATTTTATATATTTTTAGGGGCCAGGAGGACTGCCAGGAACTGCTGGAGAAAAGGGTAGAAGAGGTGCCGTTGGCCGGAAGGTATTGGTTATCTTTAACAACATTTAGCAATTAATTGCAAGGCAGTTGCACTCTCATGTTCCAGTTACCATTGGCAAACTTAAGAAATGTTTTAAAGAAAACATCTCAGTGTCAACTGAAAGCAAAGCTTCTGGGGAGTTTGTATTTGTTCAGTTTGGGAAGAGGAAATTAACTTACATTTTTGTTTCAATGCATTAGTGTGAGAATTAGGGTGCTCTTTCAGCTGCTAAATGTATGACCATTGCACCTTTTATACATTATTATTAAAAGAATTATGATTCACTTTTTCTCATTCACTCTAAAGGGTGAACCAGGGGAGCCAGGACCTAAGGGTGTCGTTGGACCCCTGGGACCCCGTGGGGAGCCTGTAAGTGAGAAGTCACAGTCTGCACCAGTCATACCAAATACATTTCATACATTGTAATAAAAATTTTAATAACCATCAGCATTATTATATAAAACATTCACAAATAGATTGAATAATTATAAACATTACTTCCATATTTAAAACATATAGCACATTGCTCATTTATCAGATCAATCTACTGTATATCAGCAGTTGAGCCTAGATCAAACTAAGGAGTTTCCTATGTATACAGGGTGAAGATGGACGAGATGGTTTTGGTATACCTGGTCCCAAAGGACGAAAGGTAAGTGTGTGTGTGTATGTGTGTGTGTGTGTGGAAAGGGTTTAAACAATGTTTTTTGTGCTTTTTCAATTAATCATATAGAATTGTTGCACATGCACCTGTGGAACATCCCAGAGTTTACATGCAGTAGGCAATTAAAGTCACAGTCACAAAAACTTAAAACATTATAGAGACCTGCCCAGGGTCCCTGCTCACGTGACTGAACATGCAGTAGTCCTGCTGAAGGGAGGCGTGAGGACTGCAGATAAACTGAGGAATGGAAAGAGTAATACTCAGCATTGTCCTTAATGTAAGATACCTAAGACAGTGCTACTGGGAGGCTCATTATTCCATTTCTGATCATCAAATATCTGTGAAACTTGTTCAGTTTATGTCTCAGTTGTTGTAGTTTTTTACGTTCATACAAATGACATTACACATTTTTAAGAAATTTGCTATATATGTGCAAACTATATATATATATATATATATATATTCTCAAAAATGTGTATTTTACATTGAACACTCTTTAATGTTATTTTAGGGTGATGACGGTTTCCCTGGTTTCCCTGGTCCAAAGGTGAGAGATTACTGAAGTTGTCTGCTCCTTTGAATGTTTTACAGTATATACAGTAGTACTTATACTAATGCACTCCCTTTAAATTCTGCTGTGCAAAACAATGAATGTAACTAAATGTTAAATCTGAATTGATTCAAAGGGTGAAGCAGGTGACCCTGGATCAAAGGGAGGACCTGGACCTAGAGGAAACAATGGCCAGAGAGTGAGTAATGTTGATGGAACTATTTTTAAGTGGGTCATTATGTCCATACTGCCGGTAATCACTAATAATATGTTTGTGTAGGGTACCTCAGGGGAACCTGGTGGACCTGGACAAAAGGGAGATATTGGATACCCAGGGCCCTATGTAAGCACCATACTTTAATATAATACTGCTTTAAAAGAAGCTTTAAAAATAAAAATACAAAAATTGTCAGGAATTTTGACTTTGAATTAACAAGGTGACTAAGTTGAGGAATGACTAGGGATGTTCTTTCTTACAAAGTGTACAATTCTCTCTGCAAGTCATAAGCTTTGATTTACTCAAGCTGTTAAATTTTTTTTTTTTTTAACTAGTGACAGACATTAGTTTGGCGCACACAAATGCTCAGTGGAATAAATCAAGATTGTTCTACCCAGCTGTGTTCAGCTGTTGAGAAAGTGTTTTTTTTTTCTGTTGTAAAAAACAGGGTCTAAAAGGATCCAGAGGAACTGGTCCAGTGGTATGTACTTTTTCCTTTCACTGTATAAGTGAATTTATTGTTTAGTACTGCTTACATGCTTGGAACATTAATGCCAAATATTCTTGTCCTCACAGCAATGTGATCTGGTCAAGAAAATTAGGGATAACTGTCGTAAGTATAGTGATTGTACAGTGTCTAATTATGCTGTCTTTCTTATAGTTTGAGTATACCTTTATACTGTATACCTTCTAATAGTTATACTTTTACATTTTGAAATCTTTCTCTATTTGTTTCTCTTTTTTTAGCCTGCTGCTATGGTAAGTGAATAGTGAACAATCTCTTCTGCATTTGCACTGTACTGTTAGGGTCACATTTGAAAGCATTCATTGCGTAAAACTGTACTTCAGCTTTTGAGTTTCTAATTCTTCAGGTGCTCAGGAATGTCCCCTATACCCTACTGAGTTGGCCTTTGCCCTGGATGCATCAGATGGTGTATCACGCTCTGTTTTCAACAACATGCGTGACACTGTGCTCCGCCTGGTCAGTGACATCACTATTGCTGAGAGCAACTGTCCCCGAGGTGCCCGTGTTGCTCTAGCACTTTACAACAATGAGGTGACTACTGAGATCCGCTTTGCAGATACCCAGAAGAAGCGATCACTTGTTGAGCGAGTTCAAGGCCTCCAGACTCAGCAGACCCGTAAGCAGCGCAGCTTGGAGACAGCCATGAACTTCGTTGCACAGAACACATTCAAGAGAGTTCGCAGTGGGTTCCTTGTGCGCAAGGTTGCTGTTTTCTTTGTCAACGGCCCTGTTACAGTCGTTCAAGAATTCAGTGCCGCTGCTTTGCGCCTCTACGATGCAGGAATTTCCTCTGTATTCCTTCTTAACCGTGAAGATCGCCAACTCACAAGAGCCTTGCAGGTAGGGGCAGTAGAAGGGCAAGTGTTGTAATTTGTGTCTGTAAGAATAAGGTCTGTAAGACTTTTTTTTCCATTTGCATTAGTGTTGGTAAAGGTTTTTATTCATGTAGTATGCTTCCTCACTTGTCTGTGGTTTCATCAGCTGTCCTTTGTCCTTACACATCAGAATCCTGTTTAGAATGTCGACTCATGACAGTAGTTGATCCTCAGAAAACAACTTGTAACAGTAGTTGTTTCATTGCCCCAGTATATAAGCTTGACCTCTTTGCACTGGACTGCATGTATAGTATTGTGCCTTAATGCTTAGTTGGGCTTAAACTAAAAATGTCAGGTCATATGCACAGCAACTGTGGTTTTGAATAATGCGTTAAGTAACTTCACGCCATCACTGAGGTAACTTCCAAATCGATTTGCAGCTTACATAAATTTGCAGTGTTTGAAGTTAAATGGGGGGAAATGTCAATCACTCGGACAAATTATCTGTAACTCTACACGAACTCTATCTGACAGGATTAATTAGTGTTGTAGTGAATCAGAAGTAAATTAAGTAAAAAGCTGACACAGCCAATTGCATTTGGCATAAAAGAAAGCATACCATTAAGCATTTTACATTTACTCTGTTTCAGCTTAACAACACTGCTTTAGCCCAAACTATCGTCCTACCCTCACCTGGAAGTGCTGAATACAACAATGTCATCAAGAAGATCATGACCTGCCATATCTGCCTGGGTAAAACTGTGTTATCATGCACAACAGAGTTCAACAAACAAGAAAAGCCACCAAACTTTTTAAAACTGCAAAAAAGTAGCAACAGAGAATGTTCGAATGTCATTTTTTTTAAACTTTTTTTTTTTTTTTTTAAGATTTCTGTGCCCCGGATGAGATGTGTAATTATGTCCCAGAACGTGGAGTCCGGGACCGGAGGGATCCCACCACTGACTTGGACATCGACATGGTCTTTGTTCTTGATAGTTCAGAGAGCACCTGGCCCTCCGTCTTCACAGAGATAAAGCAATATGTGTCTCTAATGATAGAACAGCTAGAGATGTCCCCTGAGCCAGCCAACACTACCCATCATGCTCGAGTAGCACTTGTTCAGCATGCACCTTATGAATACTTGCACAATGGCAGTGGCATGCCCATCAGCGTGACCTTTGGTTTGACAGATCACAAGTCACCAAACAGTGTTCGAAGCTTTCTACTGGATAAGGTGCACCAGCTTGAAGGAGGACGGGCCCTTGCAGATGCTCTTGAAGGCACTGTTGAACATGTGTTTGAGAAGGTGCCACATCCCCGCCATTTGAAGGTATTAGTTATTTTGGTGACTGGACCAGTTGAACTGCATGAGGAGAGGATAATAAGGGCTGCCACTGAAGTTAAATGCAAAGGATACTTCATAGTGGTGATGGCAGTTGGAAAGCTGTTCAGTACAGGCGATGTCCGTGTCTTGGCCCAAGTGGCAAGCGAGCCTTCAGATGTATTCTTTAAGAGGGTGGATAGACCTTCAGGCTTCTATGATAACCATATTCAGACATTTGCCAGACTGTTGCCCAAGTACCTTGGCCGTAAGTCAGAGAATTTTTTTAACATTCTCAAAATATCCATTGATGTATTAGCCTGTCATTTTGTACCAGGTACCAAAAACTGTTATTGACCGTTTCATCATTTTTTCTGTATAGTTGAAAATGCTTTCTACTTGTCACCTGAAGTCTCTAAGAAGTGTCAGTGGTATCAAAGTGACCAGCCACACAAATTCCCATTCAGTTTGCCAAAAACAGAGGAGTGAGTATATTTATGAGCAATGTGGTCTGTAACCCGCATATGTGTACTTTCGATGTTGCTTCTGCAAAGACCGAAAACAATTCACAGACATTATGAGTTGCTAAATAATTTAATTCACATTAATACTGAGTTAATACATTGTGTGAATGTTGCTATGGTGTCTTTTCCAGGAAACACCAGAAGCATCATGGACAGCAGGAGTTTCATGACAGAAAACATAAAGGTACTGACAGTATGCACCGTAGGTTGTGGGTATTTGTTTACAGAGAAATGTTTGGGGTTGAATTCTGGTCACGTTGTGTGTATGTTGGTGTCCAGAAACAGGTATGGAGAAAATGCATCTGGTTAACGTCACCTCCAGCGGATTCTCCCTGCAGTGGTTGAGTGGCGATTCAAAGGCCACCTATGAGGTTACTGTGACTCGCCTCAAGGATCATAGTCTGGTGCTGAGGAAAAATGTGACCGGCAGCCATCTCTCCATTTCTGAGTTGGAGGCAGCCGAAACCTATCATGTTGTGGTCAATACTCACAGTGTCAATGGTCATGTTGCCAGCACCTACAAAGGCATTGTTCCCACAAGTAAGTAATGTGTTTTCACATAAATAAATAAATTCTGTCATCTACTTCATTATGAAGCAGTATGATTTTTATGTATTTCAGTGGAACACACAACTAGTTATTTAGCAGAATGTGCATAGTGTTCTTTTGCATACATTGATTCATTTAGACTTAATTTAAATTGCTATATGGAACTTTGCTGCAGATTAAGTGTGGTACATTTTTGATAGATGATACAAGAGCTTCCTCATCTGCATTCAGCAGAAAACACAGTGCACTTAACTCCACAAAAGGAGAAGAACTAGGCTTAAACCTTATTTGGTTAGTGAAGGAGATTTGTGCCCTGTTCTGGAAGACAAGATTTTCAGCGAATAGCAATTTAAGACCTGTTTCTTACAAAGGTTTTGGGTAGCTTAGACTTGTAGACTGCAAATCATATGGACTACTTCTTTTTTCTTCTTTTTTAAGCTGGCCAGCCCTAGTTCTTATTTTCTAGTGCAAAAAAGCAGACTGGATGTCCTGCTAAAAAGCACATTTCATGTTCCCTGATCATTAAAATGTGATAATTTCAACATCAATTAAGTGAATCTGAAAATAAGTGAAAGTGAAAAAAATAATTTTATTTATTTATTTATTCATTTTCATAAACTGTTCTTTTAATGTTGGCCAGTGCAGGATGGCGTTAACTTTATATTCATTCTTCATATTCAACAGAATTAGCACATCTGAAGGTCCTTACTGTAAGTGACGTGATGGGGATTGTGCCCACTGCACCCTTGAGTAAACCAGAAACAAGTAAGTGACACAAAATTAGCTTCACAGATTATATCAGTTTTTTTTTTTTTTTTTTGCACATTTGATATACTGTAGTACAACGGAGCTATGTGTTTTTTATGACTCTAACTTCCGTATTGTTACATAAAGGTAGTACAGAATAAGAATGCTTTCAATCTTGCCAGAAAACTATGAGCGCTCTATCTAGATCTAGTTATCCTCAAATGTGTCTTTTTAAACAGAACCAGCAGAACAAACAATACTTAATGCCAGTGAAATGATGGGGATGATGTCTACTGCACCCTTGAGTAAACCAGAAATTAGTAAGTGACAGAATATATCACCAGGAGACTTTTTAATAAAGCTTTTATATATAATTTATATATAAATTAATAGAAACTAAAATTAATTATCATTCATTTTAAAAATTAATTTAAAACTATTTGTATAAATGCAAATATTTTAATACATTTTATTAAATATTTACATTTCTCAATAAAAAGTACATAGCTGAGAGTTTGATACGAATATTGTGACCAAAACCCATGATTTCTGCAGGATCTAGTTAACCTCAGATTTCTTTTGAACAGAATCAGCAGAACAGAAGGTTCTTACTCCAAGAGAGGTGATGGGGATTGCACCCTCTGCACCCTTAAGTAAACCAGAAATTAGTAAGTGACAGAATATATATCACCAGATTTTTCTCTGAATATGGGATAACATGCAAAGCAGAGGAAATACTGTCTTTAATAAACCTTGCTCTCATACGGTACGTAGTTGAGAGTTTGATAAGTAAGAAAGCATTCATGATGACTGAAAACTATGATTTCTGCATAATCTAGTTAACCTCAGATTTCTTTTGAACAGAATCAGCAGAACAGAAGGTTGTTATTCCAAGTGAAGTGATAGGAATTGCACCCTCTGCACCCTCAAGTAAAGCAGACATTAGTAAGTGACAGTATTTGCTCTATAATCTATATAAGCAAGAGGATTTTACTCCAATATAGAGAAACATGCAGAGCACAGCTTTTGTATTTGGAATCGAAACCAAACAACACTATGAACACATCTAATTCATTCTTAGTGCATTCTCCCAAGTATTAAAGCATTAATGTTGGCTGAAAGCCATGAGGTTTGTGAGATCTAATCAACTGAGATCTGGCCTTTTTGAACAGAAACAGCAGAACAGAAGGCTCCAAGTGAAGCAATGGGGATTGTGTCCTCTGCACCCTTAAGTAAACCAGAAATAAGTAAGTAATGCTAAGGATTAACATCAAAAGGATCTTTAGAATGAGCTGATTTTTTTTTTGTGTGTGTGATTCCAATCCATAAACAAACAGCACATGGATTAGTCCAGTTTTTCATTTACTTGTTTGTGAGCAGACAAGTATTCTATTTTATTCTTTTTGACTTGTTTAAACCATATATGAAAGCAGCATTGTGAGTGCTTTGGGATAAAAAAAAAACATGTTCTTAGAGGTTTCCTGTGTTTTAGAAAAGTCAAAAATCAAATGTCTGCATATACAATACTCTTTGTACTGATTTAAAGACAAAATAAATACATTTGTAAAGTCAGAGCAGCTTATAAAACTGCATTTTAAAGGGTGTTTTTTTAGAGTTTAAGAATCTGTACTGTAAATGAGGATTTCTTAATTCTGTTAGGACGGAGGCCTTCATCATTGTAAAACAATGAGATCATTGTTTTTATTAGCTGGTAATAGGGAACCCCATTTAATTCAGGGTAGTTTGACTTCTAACATAAATGCATTTACAAAAACTAATAAACTAACCTAAGTTGTATTGAACTAGACATCGTTCGACTTGATAACCCACTAACAAAATGCAATACTTACTTTGAAAGGGGAAAATGGTTGTTTCACATAAAAGGCAGGTTTACTCTGTAGGGGTTATGAAGCAGAGATTTGTGAAATGGCCCCAGCACAGACACAGTTAATGAGACTGACATTACAGTAATTACCTGCAGACGGCTAATGTATAGCACATAAATCAAATGAACTGGAAAAGGCATATAAAATATAAATGTGTTTCAAAGTAGAGGTCTGCGCGGGACTGTTTTTTTAGTCCCGCTCCCGCAAGGTTCTATTCCGCACCCACCCGCTCCCGCTATATATTCACTCTGTGTTCACCCGCTGTCCACTTCCACTTCCCGACCCGACCGAAATTTAGATCTCGGGTTCCAGAATCTCACATTTAAATTTCCTCTACTGAAAGAAAGAGAGATAGGCTGACAAATAAAAGTGTAGTCTGCACAAAATTGTATGTTATTTTATTCGTCTTGTCAAGAGTCTTGAATTAATTGACTTTGACTTGAATTTATATGAATTATCTTAAGACACAAAATTCGTTTAATATTTTATGCAACGCAGTAGGAAAAAAAAGTAAAAAATAAAAATGTTGTACAAAAATGGTATTTCGTATATTTATTCGTCTTGTCCGGATACAATTCGTTTAACATTGACAACACAATAGGTAAAAAGTGTAGCAGAGAGAAAAATATATAAAAATGTAGGTTGTACAAAAATAGCCCTATTTTTATTCGTCTTGTCAAAATACTAAATTCGTTTGACATTTTTCTGTTAACACAGTAGGAAAAGTGTCGCAGAGAAAAATAAATAAATACCACATCTTTCATTTAAAATGATAGGCTAAACGAAATATAAACAAAACCGAGCTGAACATCATTCAAGGACAGCGCATCCACACTTTGCTCCATCCTTATTCTGCTCTGTCACTCATCGACAACCTGCCTGTTCTGTCTGAGGGCCGTATATTTACCACAGGTACAGCCTGCTCTGAGCATCGTTATGCACATGCTGCGCACAGACCACGCAAATAAAACGTGTGACGTTTAAAGCATGCGTGCAGCGCGTGCATCCTGAGCGCAAGCTGTACCGGTGGTGAATAAGAATAAAGCGCAGATATGCTGTTCTAAATGGACGTCGGGAACGGGATATTGTTAAGGCCCGTTCACACCAAGCACGATAACTATAAAGATAACGATAAAGATATAGTTCTAAAAATCGTTCTCAGTATTAAAGAATAGCATAGTTCACACCACAACTATAACGATAACGATACAGAGGAACGATATCGTTGTGATCCCTTTCAAAACGATTTTTTTCCAGCTGATGAACGATAAAACACTGACAGCCAATCAGAATCCATAGTGCTGTAACGAGCTCAAGAATTTAAAGCGGCAGACGCATGTGCGCTTAGAATAAACAGACGATATAGTTCGCTGGTGTGGATGCTAATATCGTTATCTTTATAGTTATCGTTATAGTTATCGTTCACGGGGCTTTAGACCGCCCGCTCCCATTCAAATTACACCAGAGTTACCGACCGCTACCGCATTTTATTCGGGAATTTAATCCTGCGGTGCAAAAAATCCGGTCGGGTGCCGCGGGAATGCAGACTTCTATTTCAAAGTGCTTTTGCAAACAAGGTCCAGTGACCATTTATTTGGACTGACAGTGCTGATAATACTAATGAATGCATAGAAACATGATTCCTATTTTATCTCAAGATATTTAAAAACGCAACAATGTCTTTGTAAATAGTAAACTTTGTGTTTTGATGGCCTTTGCAGGTATAACATATAACAAAGTTTTAGCAGTACATAAAGCTTGATTTGAAAATAACACGATTTGCATAATCTTGATTTTAATACAGCAGTTCCACTTTATATTAAGTGGCCTTAACTACTATGTACTTACATTTAAATTAATCATTTGGTACAATGCACTTATTGTGTACATACATCTTTTTACATTGTACTTATATTTGAAAAATATCTGCATGTAATTACATCTGTAATTAATTTCTGTAATTACATTTATAATTACACTGTTGATCCACCCCTTACACCTTAACCCACCCTTAAACCTACCCATACCACCAAACCTGTCCCTAACCTTACCCGTTTCCCACCTCAATAGCAGCAAAAGTGTTTTGCAATACAATATGAACACATTGTACTTATTTTTTGATGTAAGTACATAGTAGTTAAGGCCACTTAAAGGGTTAGTTCACCCCAAAATGAAAATTAGGCTGCGTTTTACTCACCCCCGATGCATCCTAGGTGTATATGACTTTCTTCTTTCAGATGAATCCAGTCGGAGTTATATTAAAAATTGTCTTTGATCTTTCAAGCTCTATCATTGCACTCAGCGGGTGTTGCATTGCTTCTGTCCAAAAGACGTGAAATAAAAAGCACCTTTCCATAAAAAAAAGTGTCTCACACAGCTCCGGGGGTGAACAAAGGCCTCCTGTAGCAAATTGATGCGTTTTTGTAAGAAAACTATCCATATTCAAAACGTAATAATCACTTGAATCTAGCTTGTGCTCACTGTTGTAAAACGGAAGCAGTTCCGGGGGAATTACGTATGAGGTCAGCTTTGCGCATGCGCCGCTCAGAAGTGACGCACGCGGAGAGATCGGAACAAAACAACGGTCACTAATTAGAAGTACAAAACGAGGATTTGTAAAGAAGAATTTCGGAGGATTTCGATATAAGCCAAGAGGAGACTGGTTTTCCTTTGCTAAAGTAAGGAAACTTTGCTTCTTTTGATCCTGTAAACAAACGTTGGTTTTCACGAGACTCACCGGCGCATGCGCTACGCTGAACTCATACGTCATGCTCCCGGAACTGCTTCCGTGTACAACTGCTGGCGCAAGCTAGATTAAAGTGATTATTACATTTTGAATATGGATATTTTTCTTACAAAAACGCATCGATTCGCTACAGGAGGCCTTTGTTCACCCCTGGAGCCGTGTGAGACACTTAATGGAAAGGTGCTTTTTATTTCATGTCTTTTGGACAGAAGCAATGCAACACCCGCTGAGTGCAACGATAGAGCTTGAAAGATCAAAGACAATTTTTAATATAACTCCGACTGGATTCGTCTGAAAGAAGAAAGTCATATACACCTAGGATGCATCGGGGGTAAGTAAAACGCAGCCTAATTTTCATTTTAGGGTGAACTAACCGTTTAATATAAAGTGGGACCGCTAACCCATTCAAATAATTAGCTAATTCCTCTAAATGAGCTACAGTCACCTAATATTTACTGACTATATGTTCATTTTACTGACAACACTAACTTTGTCTTTCCTCTTTCATGATAAACCCTCTTTGTTTGTCTCCGTTTGTTTGCATGTTTCAGTTAACAATCCTATGGACCCATGTTCACTTGACTTTGACATTGGACTGCCATGCAAAGATTACCAAGCTAAGTGGTACTTTGACAGAAAGAATGGATTCTGTACACAGTTCTGGTATGGAGGTTGTGGAGGAAATGACAATAGGTTTGAGACTGAGGCTGATTGCCTCAAACGCTGCATGAAGCCAGGTATGTGCGCCCTTTGACCCCTTGACCCGATCACTGCAGCGATTGATTTGTCCTGTTATTATTATTTTTATTTCGAAAAATTCATGATTGAGCCATAAAATTATGAATTATGAATATTTAAAGCGGAGTATACAGGTTGCAGTACTCAAGGTCTTAAATCCCAAAATAAGATGAAACTGAAACAATCTATAGCTACAAAATTAGATCAATTATCAATAAGATGGTTAATTTATACTAAAGAATTTACAGCACACTAAATGCAGTGCCTTGCTCAATGGTACAGTGATGTATAATGCATGATCCACGTACTAACTCTCCAGCACACAAATATAACCTTTGTTGTATTACTAGCCTATTACTTGGCTACTTGTGGCTTCTACCAAGAACCCTTAAAAGGAAGTACAATAAAATGAAAGATAGGAAAATTCTTGAAAAAAAAACAAAACTTTTTTTTCCTGACTACCACAGTGGCTGAACCTAAAGCAAGTGAAGAGCATGTCAAAGCTGCTCTCCCCCCAGCACCAGCTCCAGGTCAGTCCACCGGTACATTAACCTCTAGAAACCTTTTCTTCTGTGTTTTCAAGTCATGACGTGTTTCAATTCTGTTACAGGACCACTTTCAAAAAAAATAAATGCTTTACTGAGAGCAATACATTTTAAATTCAGAATAGATTATTTGTAGTAATGTCAAGTCACCTTTTTTATATTGGTTTATAACAATATAGATTTCAAAGCTGTTTCACAATATTAAACAGGAAAGTAACTGAATCAATGATGCAAACTTTACAAAAGAGGCAAATCCAAATTCTGCTATATAGCAGCTGTATCAAGACAATAGTGTCATTATTCAGCTCCAAGTACGTTCAGTGTTGGTTCAGTTTAACTGTGTGAGGTTAATTTGTTATGAACAAGTTCGATTTAGCAGTAAGCAGCTACAGTATACTGAAGACAGTACTGTTGTTATTCAGTTCGAATAATGCCTGATGCATGTGCATTAATTGGTTTACACAAGAAATCGTAAGATATGGCCCATGTGAAGATCAAGAACTGTTTTCTTGTGAAAGACCTTGGCAAGTCATGTAACTCACTTTCCTTAGTGAACAATACTTTTTAATGATTCCTGGAAATAATTGTTTCTAAATCCTAATGTAAATGTTGTGTTAAGTGAACTGAAAGGTTTATATAGCTGTAGAAAGTTTTAGGGTAAAATATGTGGTTGCAAGAAATCACGTTGCAGATGACCTAACATATGAAACGCCACTGTCCAGAGATGATAAACCCTGTATGCAGTTATCTAAAAAAAAGTTTTTGCAAATAATTAGATACTCAGTTAAAATTCTGTCATTTTTCTCATCCTCGCTACATCCTCTAACAGCTGCCCTGCGCTCCAGTGTGGATATCTGCAAGCTACCAAAAGAAGAGGGATCCTGTGCTAAATTTGTGCTTAAATGGCATTATGACCCGCTTAGTGGAAACTGTACCCGCTTCTGGTACGGAGGATGCGGAGGGAACCAGAATCGCTTTGATACACAAGATGAGTGTGAGAAGGCTTGTGGAAAAGCAGGTGTGTTTATATTTCAAGGTAATTTTAGTGTAAGGATTGATTGATAAAGAAGGCATTACTTTAACATTGTTTGTTTTTAACAGCACCTGTTAAACGAGGGATCATCGCTGCAGTTAACACATAGGAATTAATGAAGACTGTAAGCTAACCGCTGACAACACTCAGAGGATATAGCACCTAAAACAAGAAGCACAGCCACAGCCAAGATGCCTGCACTGGAGCTTGCCAGAGGATTGATCCAAAGAAAACCTTGAAGTAATATTTCCCACATAAGAAAAAAGCAGAACAAGATTTTTTTGTTTCGTGCTGGTGCTACATTCAGTGTTTTTTTTTTATGTTTTTTTTTTCATGTGTATGTGGGTTTGAATAAAACCCATTGTAAATGTCCAGGGCAATTTTTTTTTTTAATGTTATGCTGTTTTAATCATGTGGTTTGTGGAAATATCTTGCTCAAAACATATCAGTAAATCTTTGTAGTTATGAGACAAGTTCATGACAATTTAGTTTCATTTTAGTACATTTTGCTAAATTACTGCAGTCCTCTTAATACGTTTTTTTTTTTAACTGCTTGAAGAATTTTAATTGCTCTTTCTGGTCATACCGCTGGAGATCTCCACTGACTCTAAAATCTCCAAACAAATGTTATTTTGTTGTTTGATACAATGAACATCATCTGAAACCAAGAAAGTAATTTCTTTAAATAAATATGCATAATTTTTGCAACCATTGCCTTACACAAAAGTTTTGGTTTCAAAAAGCAATTGGAATGTATTTTTTAAACTTGTTTTGGGTTGGTGTTTTTTTTTTTTTTTTTTACTTTGTATTTCACTTGGAAATGTGCAGATATAAATAAATTAGTCTTTCTATAAAACTTTGATTTTGATTGTGCTTTCTTTTTTACTTTTTGTAATGCATTACAAAAGATTCACGTTTAAAAGTGATTTTACTCTTGCTATGAGTCATGCTGAGAAGAATATCATTTTATGACTCTGATCATTCACACCGAGTTCTGCTGAGAGAACAAGAAATAAATGAACAGATGTGACCTTTGCATGCTCAAAGGAAAGCATAGTGTTTAATTCAGGACATACTGCATTGGCAGCTTATATTTCAGAGTTACAATAACAAGATTGTCCCTTTCCTTTATCCCGCACGCATACACAACTTGATACATAAGTTCAGAATTTGAAAAATAATATAAAATGAATCAGCTTGTTGAAAGTGCAACCTGTGCATATTAAAAAGAGGTAAGCTTCTGATTTCCTCTGTTCCACCGAGGCTGTAATTTCCTCTATCTCCTGTGAACAGTTGACTTTTTTATCACACTGGAAATTACCCTAAATCAAGACTGTTTGGGGAGGACAGGCAGCTTCATCAGCAGACATCTTATAAATCAAGTTCTATGGCAACTAGAGATAACAAACTTTGAGAAACATTTCACTGTGAATTCTATGTGACCCACTTTTTTTCACTTTGTGATTTTTCACTTGTAATCACAAACATTACAATTTCTAACATTTTCATAGTAGCACTTCCTCATAAAACTTTCCAAAACTAGTTCAAGTCTGTCATATTCCTAAAATGAAGTTATTGTAAATAGCTTAAAATGGAAAAGTGTATAATCTCCATCAACAGTCAATAATGCATGAATTATCAATTTTTTGTCAATGTCAATCCACACATCTTATAAACACTTTACAAAGCGTCTCTTTCTGATTTGTCATGCACACGTGTTGCATTTATCTCTGCCAGTCTGTTTGTAAATCCATCACACAGCATATACGCATTATCATGTTCAATCCTGAACAATCTGCACATGGCTATGTGGGTTTTGCAGCAGTCCTTGTGGCCCCCTCCCATGCTGAGGTTAACTGTATGAGAAATGCATCAGTGCTTAAGTCATACCAGTGGTTTCCTGCAGAGCTTAATGCCAGATTTATTTCAATGCTGTTGCATTTTACGATTTTTAAGATTTTTTTATTCCTGGTTTTATACAATGACTCACTATGATGGCAAGATGACGTTCTCCACATCATCAGTAAATGTCTCGTGTTTCAGTTGCTCTCGCTAATGTACGTTTAGCAGGGGCAGATCTAGAAAATCATTTTTAGGGTGGCAAAGGGGTGGCATGGGGTCCATGAGGGGTGGCAACACCAAAGAAAACCCCCATGCATAGTTTTGGGGGATTTATTGTCATACACAGTTGTGTTCACAATTATTGTATTACCATTAAGTAATCATCTATACTGTTTAAAATGAAAAATAAATAACATTTCAATATCCATCATGGCACCAAATCAATGCACAATATAAAAAAACTTCAACAGGTTATAAATGTTTCTGAGCTTGTATCACTAGAAGACATGCGGTTCTATTAAAATTACATAGGCTACTTAGATGGTATAATCACGTTTAGTGCAAGTTTAAAAGCAACAAAAACTTTTGAATTTCCTAACATTAGAAAGAAATACAATAATATCAAAGCACTGAAACTGGATCAGTTTTGAAAACAATGTTTGATTTTCTGTTATTAACAGAGGTGAGAATGTCACCCAGAACAAACTCAATCAACCATATACTCTAGCAACACCCCAGCAACTGCATAGCAAGAGCCTAGCAACCACCCAGAATATCCTAGCAACCAACTAGCAACACTTTAGCAAACATCTAGAACATCTAACTGACCAAACCATTAATGTTTTTTAAACAAGACTTTAAGACAAGCCAGCATACATTTGTCTTTCAAATTTTTCAATCTAGTAATTACAGATTTTCTAAGTGTTTTTTTTTTCAACTGCTTACATTTTCAAAACTTTGCCTCTTTTTTTCAAAAATTTACACACAAATCCAGGAATTTCACACAAAGTGCAAAATGCCTCACATCTCTTGCAAAATGAAGCACTGCATTCAAAATATCACAAACACATCTCAAAAGCAAACATTTGCAAACA